AAAAAAAACAGAAATTCTGTTTCCGCTGAGCAAAGGCTCATAACCTCTGGTTATATTCTCTTCAAGTCATTTTTCTACGTACTTTTTACATAGGTGATATCATATCAGTTAAGAGCAAGTTTGTGTTTTGCTGCTGCTTGTGTAACATCAAACCATGAGGGTAAGAAAACAAGGTAGTCTGTGTGTGGACGCAGGAATCAAGTTGCAAAGCCCAGGCTGGAGTGAGCGTGGTGATGCAGCGCCCTCTACTGATCAAATTTGGGGGCGGCAGGGAGGACTGGCATGCTGGTTCCCAATGGTCGGCAGGCCACTTTCTCAGCAAATCAGGTTGGGGTGGCGGTGGTGGGAGGGGCCATGGGAGGGGCCAGTAGCAGATTTGTTGCCTACTTGAACCTAACGTTTGTCTCAAAAGCTAAAAACGTGTGGTCTGCCCCCATTGCTAATGTTGTCGCTCATATTTCAAAGAATTCCCCATTTCTTGGAGAGCTGTTATCCCCAGCTTATATTGGACAGAAGGGTCAGGTGGTGGACCTTTTCAGAGATGATAGGCCATCCCCAAAGGGCCCCATTGTCCCAGCAGAACTGCCTTCTCTTTCCAGGGGCAGGTTCTGCTGCAAGGAACAGGCGTTCTCGCCTGTTTCCTTTCTGTTGTTGGAAAGAACAGTCTCAGGGCCAGAGTGGAGCTGTCCTTTCAGAAGCGGCAGGCCCCCCGGAGAGACAGGGGATGTCCAAGCCCGAGGTTCGTGAACTAGACGCAGTGTCTGAAGCTCCTGGCAAAAAGGATCCGACGTCTGGGCAGAGCTCCTCCTCCTTATTCAGTGAATCTTCATCTCACACGCATTTGGCTCTGCACACGTTTCTTGACGGTTTCCAAGTGAGGAAGGCACACCACTTCCCCCAGGAGCTCAGGGCCTGCGTTCTCTCTGGGCGTCAGCCCTGCTTTACCCGCTGCCGTCTGCTCCATGTCGACTATCAGGGGCTGAGGCCCAGTCCTACCTCCCATCTCTCCTCCGGGCTGCCCTCAGCTTCGCGAGTCTAGCATACAAGCAGATTGGGGTCCGTGGACCCAGGCTGTTCTGATTCTCTTCTGTGCCACTGCCCTGGTGCGGGGTGCAGGTAGAGAGAGCACCTTCCTGCTTCAGCCAGAGCACCCCCACTCCTCCCTTTCACATATGATTCTGCAGGGAAGGAAAGCTGCTGCTGCAGGTACCAAGGCTTGGAAAAGTTCTGGAAGCAGGTGGTTTCAGTGGGGTGCCAATAGTGTGGATGAATGAATGGTTCTGTGCTGTCCTCCCGGGAGGCACCCCCAGTGGACTGCAGCCCCCTGGCTTACTGAACAATCGAACCAGTGGCTTGATAAAGACATCAGAGGCATGCTTATCAAATTTGAAGATGACACAGAGTCATTAGGGAGAGCTGATGTGCTGAATGACAGAATCAATACTCGACATCTCCTCTACAGCTACAACACCCTGCTGGAGCCAGGAGATGAAAGGCGATGGGCAAAAATGGGCAGTGCCCCAGAGGTTCAGAAAATCAATTGCACAAGAACCAAACTGAGGAGCCCTGGCTTAACAGCAGTTTGTGTGAAGTGGCTGGGCACAGGCTCGGGTTGTGTGGGATGTATCCTGGTGTGCACCAGGTAGGTCCCATGAGATGGTGTCCCACACCTGGCAGGTCCATCTGGAGGGTGGTGTCTGCAGCTACACATCACCCTGTACACGTTACCCGGTGGGGCGGTGAATTTGAGTGTGGAGAAGCACCGAGTTTTGACCTGAGTAGAGAGGGCAGCTGGCTTTGGGGGTTTAACTGGTCAGTGTGTGAAAGGGAACGTATAGGTGCTTCCATATGGGGAGGTGCCGTTGGGAGCCCCAGGAGGCAAAATCATTAGATCAGGTGCACTGGAGTCATAGGAAGTAGATTTGGACTTAACATTTTAGAAAATAAAGAAAACGTGCAAAAAGTAAAAAATTTCCGGGCGATGAAGGAGCTGACTTAAGAGGTCAGTGCTCCCAACTGCTACAGCATTTGGGTTCTTCAGACCTTGGGGGGTGGTTCTTAAGCCTCGTTTACAGAATGTCTCAGATACTTTCCCATCCTGAGAAATTCAGACTCAGCAGACCTGCAGGTAGTGCCACAGGCGCCTGGCAAGGAAGATTCCAGGGAGCTCCGGTGGGCAGGGAGGTGCAGAGCAGTGGGCGTCTGCGCAGAGGCAGCCCCCAGGGGCTCCTCCCCAGGATGGAGGGCGCCCGGGGCCTTGGCGGTGCTGGCACTGGGTCTGTGTGCCAGTACTGGCATGTGGGAGCTGAACAGCAAGTGTTTCTTTTGTCCCTTTCAGAGTCCATCTAAAATAAGTAGTCTGGCCTCCGGAGTGCTGGAATTTCTCAAACATTTTATGTTGATGTAGACACAGGGCCAAATCTGTCCCAGAAAATGTGGGATGTGATTCCGGTGGCTCCACCCTGTGCCCTCATCTGCCAGGGGTGCTGAGTCTTGTACACCACGGTTCTGAAGGAGAAGCTGCCACCTGAACTCTGC